ATATATATGCCTTACATTTAAATATAGGCATTTGTATGAGATATAACTATGCTCAAAGTCAAAGATAAATTTTTCATATAAACTCAAATAATTTTCTTCTTGAAATCTTGATTTACAGGAATGAATAAAGTCTTATGCATTTTTGATGCAGGGCCCAAAACACCAATGATGAATGCAAAATCTTACTAGCAAAGACTGAAATGTAGCCAGCCAGGCAGGTTTGTTCTAGATTCTCTATGGAACAGTTTTTATTCTTTAACTTGGTTTCTTTTAGAAGTTATGTAAATACAGAGGGGAAATCTAAATTGACATTATTTTTAAATATATATGTCTCCTTTGTATACATGGTGAATCAGCTCATGGGACTTCCTGTTACTTAAATATCTGCTTGTCATTTTCTTTATCTCATCTGTAAAATGAGATTTCTTTTCATGTTTTGATGACCATACTTCTGCCAGTCATTGATTTTTTTTTTAGTGTGAGTCTTATTATTAGTGATGCTCATAGAATGGGGGTTGTATTTACTATGGAAATCAAGAGAAGAGCCAATTTAAGGGCAGAGAAATCATTTTTGTTCTTCAGGACCAACATATATTCCATATTTTGAGTAAATATGGAATATGTGTTACATATAAGATGTATTCTCTTAATAGCAAGTAGAGAAAAAGTATACTTAGATTTTCCACATTCTACCTGTGAAGAGGAAGAATGTGGAAAATATGTGCTATATTTGAATAGTATGTAAATCAGTAAATAGTTATAAATTCCATAATGTCTCCTGCTCTCAGGATTGTAATATCTTTTAAAACACTTATTCTGGTTTTCCTCAAATATGCTTTCCATCATGCACATTTTAAATTCTGCTCCACAATTGGTTGTAATGGAAGAATGTTATTTTGAGAAGAAAGGAATCAGTGTCTCCCTAAACTTGGGCAACTGGGTAATTGTACCAGTCAAGGAGTTACACTTATGTGACAAAATGCATTTTGGCAGAGAAATGGTAATGCTTTGAGTTATTGCAATATTTTATTCTTCAGAAGAAGCTTACCATTGATAATTTATTCTAAAGTTAAATTATTTATCGAAAAAGTTTTATGCACTCAAAAAGGAAGAGATGTGTGTCTTTTGTGAGGCCAAACCAAAACCGGGGAAAAAATGTCAAAAAAGTAGAAAAAAATGAAATAACTGACTTCATCAGAAAGTATACAGTTTTTATTTTCTGTAACATTGTGCCTGTGTTTTAACATAGAAG